AGGGAAGGAGGTAGAAGGAAGGAGGGAAGTAGGTTGAAGAGAGGGAATGTGTTCCTGTGAGGCTACTGAGCATCTTAGAATGGGAGGTTTTTTTAGTTTGTTTTTTTATTAATTGTATTATTGACTTATGCCATAATTGTATGTTTGTTTATTTCGGGGGGGAAAAAAAATCAATAAAGTTTGTTTATAAAAAAAAAAAGAATCTGAACTACTAGCAGTCAGAACAAATTGGCAGTAGATAAGAGTTAATGGAATTCAAGGTGGTCTGGACTTGTATCTCTTGTGGGTGCAAAGGGACTCGAGACTGATGACATGTTTGTCCCCTCCCCTCCCTTGGGCTCAACCTGGTCATCTCCTACAGTGATAGAACCATAACTTCCAGAATTACCATGTTGTTTTAAGAGCTAAGTTCCAAATGCATTTGGGAAGTTCCTTATTGTGCAGTATGAAATATGGTGATGCACTGGAATTTGTTTGTAGAAGCTGGATTGTTTTGGCTGTTTAGGTTCAGTTATGAGGATGTTTGAAAAATCTGAACCTGCTACTTGTCTCCAGTGCACTTTTTCTTTTCTGGCTGGGGAGAGCAAGAAGGACAATATGAAGACATCATTACCAATCTCTATTGCAGATAAATTAAATACAGTGAACTCAAGGGAAAAATTCTCTGCTTCCTGACACCTGATGTATGACTGACAGCTTTGCTATTTAATTATCATTTTTCCCATTGTCCAAAAGGTTGGTACGGCCTTTGGGCGTCTGTCTTGATTATGTTCATTTTTCTGAAATTATACCTACAGAGAAAGGTGTGCCCCTGATACAACTCTCACCAATTTGGCAGGTTGCCAGGCTCTAAGATTGAGTTACAGGTCTCCTTGATTTGCTGGTGCCCTTTCTCCATATTGATAACCTCTGGATCAAATTCCACCACATTTGTTTGCACAACATCTGGTAGGGCAGGTTCAGATTTTTTTTTTAAAAAGTGCAGCGTTTGCTTCCTGTTGTAACCATTTCAGCAGAAATACAGGGAACTGGGGAATTGTTAGAGAGAATTCAATAGAAAAAGGAAAAAGGAAATATCCACAGCCTCCCCCCCCCCAACTCCAACCCCCAAATGGAGCTGGAGATAGACTTCTAGCCATATCGGCCCAGAGGAACATCCCAAGCAATGCCCTGTAGTTAAAAATCAACTCGCAACCTCATGATATGTGTAGTGTTAACACTCCTACACCCTTTGATTGAAGTACAGTAGATAAAGGAAGATAAGAAAGTTG